AATGTGCGAATATGCTCAGCAAGCAAACATGTACATTACGCATGAGCGCATTGCCAGTTGAGGTAGACATTATTCTTAATATATGATCGTTCTGAAACTCTCAAAGCCTTTTTAACAAAAACTTAATTCAAACGACAGAACGTATTACGGGCACGGAATTAAAAATACGTATTTATAAAATAGTTGTTCAATAGTTACATTTGAACAGAGAGACACAAAAGTCCATGGTGATCCCTTCCTTCAAGATCCATGGTTAACAGTTATTTGAATTATGTTATACCCTTTGTTATAAGTCAAGTGCTATCCGACTGAAAATACCATACTTTTCTAAGTACATGTTATACTCTGTATTCAAGGTCCAAGTTGTACCCATTATCCAGGTTCATGTTATACCCTTAATTCAAGGTCAATGTTATACCCTGTATTCAAGGTCCATGTTATACCCTAATTCAAGGTCCATGTTATACCCTGTATTCAAGGTCCATGTTATACCCTTAATTCAATGTCCATGTTATACCCTGTATTCAAGGTCCATGTTTTACCCTTATAATTAATTCAAGGTCATGTTATACCCTTAATTCAAGGTCCATGTTATACCCTTTATTCAAGGTCATGTTATACCCTGTATTCAAGGTCCATGTTATACCCTTTATTCAAGGTCATGTTATACCCTTAATTCCAGGTTCCTGTTATACGCTTTATTCAAGGTCAATGTGATAGCCTTTATTAAAGGTCCATGTTATACCCTGTATATAAGGTCCATGTTATACCCAGTATTCAAGGTCCATGTTATATCCTTAATTCCAGGTTCATGTTTTACCCTTTTTTTCCAGGTTCATGTTATACCCTTTATTCAAGGTCCATGTTATATCCTATATTCAAGGTCCATGTTATAGCCTTGATTCCAGGTTCATGTTATACCCTTTATTCAAGGTCCATAATATACCCCCAATTCCAGGTTCATGTTATAGCCTTTATTCAATGCCCATGTTATATCCTTTATTCAAGGTCCATGTTATATATAGCCTTAATTCCAGGTTCATGTTATACCCTTTATTCAAGGTCCATATTACACCCTTAATTCCAGGTTCATGTTATACCCTTTATTCAAAGTACATCGGATGTTATACCCTGTATTCAGGGTCCATGTTATACCCTTAATGCAAGGTGCAAGTTATACCCTATATTCAAGGTCCATGTTATACCGTGTATTCAAAGTCCATGTTATATCCTTAATTCCAGGTTCATGATATACCCTATATTCAAGGTCCATGTTATACCGTGTATTCAAAGTCAATGTTATATCCTAAAGTCCAGGTTCATGTTTTACCCTTTATTCCAGGTTCATGTTATACCCTTTATTCAAGGTCATGTTATACCCTGTATTCAAGGTCCATGTTATACCCTTTATTCAAGGTCATGTTATACCCTTAATTCCAGGTTCCTGTTATACGCTTTATTCAAGGTCAATGTGATAGCCTTTATTAAAGGTCCATGTTATACCCTGTATATAAGGTCCATGTTATACCCTGTATTCAAGGTCCATGTTATATCCTTAATTCCAGGTTCATGTTTTACCCTTTTTTTCCAGGTTCATGTTATACCCATTATTCAAGGTCCATGTTATACCCTGTGTATAAGGTCCATGTTATACCCTGTATTCAAGGTCCATGTTATATCCTTAATTCCAGGTTCATGTTTCACCCTTTTTTCCAGGTTCATGTTATACCCTTTATTCAAGGTCATGTTATACCCTGTATTCAAGGTCCATATTATACCCTTTATTCAAGGTCATGTTATACCCTTAATTCCAGGTTCCTGTTATACGCTTTATTCAAGGTCAATGTTATAGCCTTTATTAAAGGTCCATGTTATACCCTGTATATAAGGTCCATGTTATACCCTGTATTCAAGGTCCATGTTATATCCTTAATTCCAGGTTCATGTTTTACCCTTTTTTTCCAGGTTCATGTTATACCCTTTATTCAAGGTCCATGTTATATCCTGTATTCAAGGTCCATGTTATAGCCTTGATTCCAGGTTCATGTTATACCCTTTATTCAAGGTCCATAATATACCCCCAATTCCAGGTTCATGTTATAGCGTTTATTAAATGCCCATGTTATACCCTTTATTCAAGGTCCATGTTATAGCCTTAATTCCAGGTTCATGTTATACCCTTTATTCAAGGTCCATATTACACCCTTAATTCCAGGTTCATGTTATACCCTTTATTCAAAGTACATCGGATGTTATACCCTGTATTCAGGGTCCATGTTATACCCTTAATGCAAGGTGCAAGTTATACCCTATATTCAAGGTCCATGTTATACCGTGTATTCAAAGTCCATTTTATATCCTTAATTCCAGGTTCATGATATACCCTATATTCAAGGTCCATGTTATACGTGTATTCAAAGTCCATGTTATAACCTTAATTCCAGGTTCATGATATACCCTTTATTCAAGTTCCATGTTATAGCCTATATTCAAGGTCCATGTTATATCCTTTATTCAAGGCCTATGTTTTACCCTTTATTCAATGTCCATGTTTTATCCTTTATTCAATGTCCATGTTATATCCTTTATTCAAGGACCATGTTATACCCTTTATTCAAGGCCCATGTTATACCCAAGGTCCATATTATAAGTAATGTTACACCCGTTAATCTGGGTCAATGATATGCCCTTTATTCTAAGACCATGGTATACCCCTTTTCTCGGTCCATGTTAAATCCTTTGTTTAAGTTATGTTATTACTTATTTCTATGCGCATATAAAACCTTAAAATACCATGGCTTTTATTCCATGTAAGTTGTTTAGCATCTCTACGTCTTCTTCAAACAACCGATGCATATAACCAGACTAAAAGGGCGGAAACGCGACGCAGGTGGAACGTCAGTTTGAGCTAAACAAAACGTATGCCAAACATCAATACTGAGACAAGCATGTTGAAGAGCAGGCTAGACTGAATCTAGTTTGAGTCAGTTCCTCTGAAGCCGGTATTCACTGAAAAAAATACACAAGGAATATAGATTTATACTTGAAAGCAAGCATGCAAGTTCTGTTAGAACACTTCTGTAACAAATCAGGTGTGGCTCGCTTCCTATAGATCCGTCAGGGAACACGACACGCTTAGGTTGCAGAGTAATAAACAAACTATAGTCCTAGCTGAATCAATATTGGCCAAACTTACTTCTTCGCGGGACATGCGAAGCAGGAACTCAGTTCCAGAACTGGTCCCGTCTGAATGTAATTGTATTTCTTTCTATGTTTATTTTCACTACAAGTAAGTACACAAAATGTAAGATGTGTTTATCTTTGCAAGTTCAAAGTACTAACTATTGTTTCTATTGCACTGTCGACTGTTTAACATGGGCCCTTATGAATGGACATAAGATGGGGTTAGAATAAAGGATAAAGTATGATCTTAGATTAAAGGATATAACATGATCTTAGATTAGAGGATACAATATGATCTTATAATAAATGAATTAATATCTTAGTAGAATAAAAGATATAACACCATCTTAGAATAAAGGATAAACTATTATCTTAGAATATAGGATGTAACATTATCTTAGAATAAAGGATATAACGTGTTACTAGAATAAAGGATATGATCTAAGGATAAAGGATGTAATGTTTAGATTAAAGGTTATAACGTTATCTTAGAATAAAGGGAATAATATATCTTAGAATAAAGGATATAACGTGTTGCTAGAATAAAGGATACGATCTAAGGATAAAGGATGTAATGTTTAGATTAAAGGTTAAAACGTTATCTTAGAATAAAGGGAATAATGTATCTTAGAATAAATGATATAACATGCTACTAGAATAAAGAATAAGATCTTAGAATAATGGTTATAACATGATCGTAGGACAAAGGTTAATATTGTCTTAGAATAAAGGCTAATATGATCTTAGAATAAAGGATATAACATGACCTTAGAATAAAGGGTATAACGTGATATTAGATTACAGGAAGGTGTGTAATGATTGTTCGGCCTAACAATGCACCACAAATAACCATGACCCGATGACAGTGCTACACTTAACTATCTATAATATCGACAGATGCAATAGAATAAAACAAAATACATTTACATATTAACTTTTTCAACTGCTTTGATCTCAAATACATCCTGCTTGACGAGTGGGTATCCATTCAGAAAACGTTCATAACTCTATATAACCAGGAGTGTTAACTGACTTTAAAAGTCCAATTTCCCCCCTTGCCGAACTAGGCTGGAATTCCTGGGATCGATTGTAGCGCCACCAGTGGCTGATACGAGTTATGTCCCTTATATGCCTCTCCTATTGACCAATCAGATTCCACCTCTCGTATCACTTGCATTTGTTTCAAACAAAAAGGCGACGCCCAGACAAGACGATCTGATCGACAATCAAGATCAATATTGTGATAAAACGGGTCTTAGATCGCGAAGTGCATCAAAACATGTGAGAACCTTGATTTAAAACTTGAATAGATTTAGAAAATATCTGCTGACAACGAGTTGGCGGTGCACATGCTTTGTAAATCCTGCAATCGACCGAACTCTTCATGACATTTTACGAACGGGAATTCGATTTCGGTTCGCGATTTTTATTGGACTATGCATAGACTCGTTAGTCCAGACAAAATGTTACTCCATAATACCAGCTTAGTTCGGCAAGGATGGAAACTGGGCTTTTATAGTTAACTCCCTTGACTCGGGAAGATGCAATTCGCTGTGCAGATGGGTTTGAATCCCGGTTCGCCCCGATTATGTTTCTAGGTTTGTCAGCACCATACCATGAGACCGACATCACTTCGGGCTTTCCTCCAACATTAAGCTGACGACACAGACTTACAGTCTTGATTCGTCTTTATAATATGAATTTGGTCAAGGAATATATCAATTGGATGTTTTGGATGTTTTCGCTGACTAGTAAACAAGTCGTGTTTGAAGTTCAAAAGAATGGTTTACTGCAGTCAGTGTGATTCTACGTTTCAGTTATTTTTGGATTGGGTTGAGCCGCGCCTCCGACAACGCCGAGTTTCAGTGGGCGGATAACTCTGTGTTCGAATCTGACAACTGGATGCCGAACGAGCCCAACAATGCCACTGGATACAACTGTGTGAAGGCCAGCTCACTGAACGCCAACTGGATGACGACCATGTGTGCCGCACTTCATGGGGTGGTGTGTCGGGCCAACCCCCAGACCCCTGGTAAGTACGCCGCACCCCTCATAAGGCAGACCTCCCACGAAACGCCGACCCTGACACACCCGAGTATGCAGACCCACACCGCACCCTTCATAAGGCAGACCTCACACGAAATGCCCACCCTGAACAGGCTGACACACCCGAGTATACAGACCCACACCGCACCCATCCTAAGGCAGACCTCACACGAAACGCCCACCCTGAACAAGCTGACACACCCGAGTATACAGACCCACACCGCTATCATCGTATGTATACAGACCCACACCGCACCCCTCATAAGTACACACCTCAAACGAAACGCCCACCCTGAACAGGCTGACACACCCGAGTATACAGACCAACACCGCACCCATCGTAAGTATACAGACCCACACCGCACCCTTCGTACGTATACAGACCAACACCGCAGCCTTCGTACGTATACAGACCCACACCGCACCCATCGTAAGTATACAGACCTACACCGCACCCTTCGTACGTATACAGACCCACACCGCACCCTTCGTACGTATACAGACCCACACCGCATCCTACTCATAAGTACACACCTCACACGAAAGGCCCACCCTGAACAGGCTGACACACCCGAGTATACAGACCCACACCGCACCCTTCGTAAGTATACAGACCCACACCGCACCCCTCATAAGAACACACCTCACACGAAACGCCCACCCTGAACAGGCTGACACACCCGAGTATACAGACCCACACCGCACCCATCGTAAGTATACAGACCCACACCGCACCCTTCGTACGTATACAGACCAACACCGCAGCCTTCGTACGTATACAGACCCACACCGCACCCATCGTAAGTATACAGACCTACACCGCACCCTTCGTACGTATACAGACCCACACCGCACCCTTCGTACGTATACAGACCCACACCGCATCCTACTCATAAGTACACACCTCACACGAAAGGCCCACCCTGAACAGGCTGACACACCCGAGTATACAGACCCACACCGCACCCTTCGTAAGTATACAGACCCACACCGCACCCCTCATAAGAACACACCTCACACGAAACGCCCACCCTGAACAGGCTGACACACCCGAGTATACAGACCCACACCGCACCCATCGTAAGTATACAGACCCACACCGCACCCTTCGTACGTATACAGACCAACACCGCAGCCTTCGTACGTATACAGACCCACACCGCACCCATCGTAAGTATACAGACCTACACCGCACCCTTCGTACGTATACAGACCCACACCGCACCCTTCGTACGTATACAGACCCACACCGCAGCCTTCGTACGTATACAGACCCACACCGCACCCATCGTAAGTATACAGACCCACACCGCACCCTTCGTACGTATACAGACCCACACCGCACCCTTCGTACGTATACAGACCCACACCGCACCCATCGTAAGTATACAGACCCACACCGCACCCTTCGTAAGTATACAGACCCACACCGCACCCTTCGTAGGTCCACAGACCCACACCGCACCCTTCGTAAGTCTACAGACCCACACCGCACCCTTTGTAAGTCTACAGACCAACACCGTACCCTTCGTAAGTAAACAGACCCACGCCACACCCTTCGTGAGTATACAGACCAACACCGCACCCTTCGTAAGTATACAGACCCACACCGCACCCTTCGTACGTATACAGACCCACACCGCACCCTTCGTACGTATACAGACCCACACCGCACCCATCGAAAGTATACAGACCCACACCGCACCCTTCGTACGTATACAGACCCACACCGCACCCTTCGTAAGTAGACAGACCCACACCGCACCCATCGTAAGTATATAGACCAATACCGCACCCTTCGTAAGTATACAGACCCACACCGCACCCTTCGAAAGTATACAGACCCACACCGCACCCATCGTTAGTATACAGACACACACCGCACCCTTCGTACGTATACAGACCAACACCGTACCCTTCGTAAGTATACAGACCCACAACGCACCCTTCGTAAGTATACAGACTACACCGCACCCTTCGTAAGTATACAGACCCACACCGCATCCTACTCATAAGTACACACCTCACACGAAAGGCCCACCCTGAACAGGCTGACACACCCGAGTATACAGACCCACACCGCACCCTTCGTAAGTATACAGACCCACACCGCACCCCTCATAAGAACACACCTCACACGAAACGCCCACCCTGAACAGGCTGACACACCCGAGTATACAGACCCACACCGCACCCATCGTAAGTATACAGACCCACACCGCACCCTTCGTACGTATACAGACCAACACCGCAGCCTTCGTACGTATACAGACCCACACCGCACCCATCGTAAGTATACAGACCTACACCGCACCCTTCGTACGTATACAGACCCACACCGCACCCTTCGTACGTATACAGACCCACACCGCATCCTACTCATAAGTACACACCTCACACGAAAGGCCCACCCTGAACAGGCTGACACACCCGAGTATACAGACCCACACCGCACCCTTCGTAAGTATACAGACCCACACCGCACCCCTCATAAGAACACACCTCACACGAAACGCCCACCCTGAACAGGCTGACACACCCGAGTATACAGACCCACACCGCACCCATCGTAAGTATACAGACCCACACCGCACCCTTCGTACGTATACAGACCAACACCGCAGCCTTCGTACGTATACAGACCCACACCGCACCCATCGTAAGTATACAGACCTACACCGCACCCTTCGTACGTATACAGACCCACACCGCACCCTTCGTACGTATACAGACCCACACCGCAGCCTTCGTACGTATACAGACCCACACCGCACCCATCGTAAGTATACAGACCCACACCGCACCCTTCGTACGTATACAGACCCACACCGCACCCTTCGTACGTATACAGACCCACACCGCACCCATCGTAAGTATACAGACCCACACCGCACCCTTCGTAAGTATACAGACCCACACCGCACCCTTCGTAAGTCTACAGACCCACACCGCACCCTTCGTAAGTCTACAGACCAACACCGTACCCTTCGTAAGTAAACAGACCCACGCCGCACTGGAATACTTTTTCTTAATCATTAGGGGCGGTCGGGTAGCCTAGTGGTTAAAGCGTTCGCTCGTCACGCCAAAGACCCGGGTTCGATTCCCGACATGGGTACAATGTGTGAAGCCCATTTCTGGTGTCCCCCGCCGTGATATTGCTGGAATATTGCTAAAAGCGGCGTAAAACCATACTCACTCACTCACTCACTCACTCCTCGTAAGTACACAACTCACCACAGAGCAGTTGATTGGTTTGTTGTTTAACGCCGCACTCAGCAATACTCCAGCTATATGACGGCGGTTTGTAAATAATCGAGTCTGGGCCAGAAGATGCAGTGATTGACATCATGAGCATCGATCCACGCAATTGGGATACGATGACATGCATCAACTAAGTCAGCGAGCCTGACCACCCGATCACGTTAGTCGCCTTTTACGACAAGCATGGGTTGCTGAAGCCCAATTCTACCCCGGATCTTCACAGGTCCCACAGAGCAGAAACTCTGACCTTATGAGATGTCGTGATGGGGCTCGGTATTATAACAAGGAGGCAATCCATTTGTGGTTGATGCTAGTACTGTGAAGTACACGCCAGGTAGCTACATGCCTTAGTCTGTTAACGGGGGCGGTCGGGTAGCCTAGTGGTTAAAGCGTTCGCTCGTCACGCCGAAGACCCGGGTTCGATTCCCAACATGGGTAAGATGTGTGAAGCCAATTTCTGGCGTCCCCCGCCGTGATATTGCTGGAATATTGCTAAAAGCGGCGTAAAATCAAACTCACTCACTCGCTCACTCTGTTAACGAATGGCTTCTATCTGAGGATTTCAACAGTTTCCTAAAGTTTCCTCTTTTTCCAGTGATTAGTGTTGGTATGGAGACTAACTTTTGCCAGGAAATGTGGTGGTCGGGATTTTTTGTTGTATGTTCCGTAAGGGCAGATTTCATGTCAGATTTTTCAACAGAGATCTCGCGTTCTTTTATTCTGGTGGCTGTGGGGCATGGGGTCTCGCCAATATATTTGTCTCCACGCTTGCATGAAATTTTATTCACATATCATCTAGGCCTCAATCACAAATGGCCATCTTCATTGTCTTATTGTTAGTGTGAACACAGTTACTACACCAAGTCCAATCGCCACAACGTCGTTGCAATCAAATGCTTTCTCATTTTAATCCCACTGGCTTCATCATTATATTGTTATCGTTGCACATTAATCATACACCTCGTCCGTGGTCCAGTGATAGAGCGTGCGCCCGGAGAGCGGAAGGTCCGGGGTTCGATCCCCGGCCGCGTCATACCAAAAGACGTTAAAAGATGATACTTATTGTTTCCCTGTCTTGCGCTTGGCATTATGGGGCTAAAACAAAGACTGGTCGGCTCGGAGTCAGTATACTGTGTCCGAGTGGGGTATTCATGTTAAACTGCGGCATAGTATCTCAGTGTGCTAGCACTATAAATCGGCATCAGTCCGGACTAGTACAAACAGCCACACACACGTGCATACACGTCGCTTTTAAAGTGCACTAATCTTGGACGCGACGTTAAACCCTATTTCATCTCATCTCATACACAAATCACCAAGCCGTCAATCACAAATGGACATCTTGATTGTCTTATTGATAGTGTTACCACAGTATATAACCCAGTCCAATCGCTTCGTCATTTAATAAATTGATATTCATCATATTGTTACGTGTGTACATTAATCATACATTGCGCCATCATATCATCCTGTAATAAATATATATTTGTGCTTGTCAAAACTCCTTTTTGCACATAAGATCTTTCGCCGTTTAACTCTAAACGCTTGTGTTCGACGTAGCTCTGAAACGTCGTTTCAAGGAATAAAAGAAGTTGTTATTCATGAAGAAATGCCATGCACTGAACCTGATTGATCCGCGTTTGGAGACACTAAAAGAAAACTGTCTGCTACTTTACATATTGTCCAGATACTTTCAAGGCATGTTGTTCCCATCTCAATATAAAA